TGAAAGTATTAAGAAGTTCAAGGAGCTTTGGGAGCATATAAAGGGTGTCTGACTCACTTAGCTCAGACAAGGCTTTCCTGAGAAAAATACCATTTAAGCTGAGATCTAATGTTTGAGTTGAAGTTAAGAAAATAACAAGTAGGAATACAACATTCCAAACAGGAAATTAAAGGTCTGAAGGTGCTAGAGAGCATGGCGCCTTACGGCTGGTAGTAGAAAGCAATAATAGTCAATATAATAGTGTGTGTGTGTGTGTGTGTGTGTGTGTGTATTGTGTGTATATATATATATATATATATATATAATCTCGCTTATGTGTTAAGCACAGTTCTAAGAGATTTAAATTAATTTAAAGAGATTTAAATTAGTTAATTTAATCCTCAAAACAACCTACTGAGAAGATTACTATTATTCTTTTTTTCTTTTCGGTTTTTAAAGATTTTATTTTTAAGTAATCTCTACATCCAGTATGGGGCTTTAACCCAAGAGATCAAGAGTCACACATTCTACTGACTGAGCTAGCCAAGCAGCCCTATTATTCTCATTTTATAATGAAGACATTGAATTTTATGCAAAGAGAGGTACGCTAAACCCAGAGCCATGCAGCTATTAAGTGATGGAGCAGCATATGAATGCAGGCAGTTGGTCTTTCTGAGTCTGAGTTCTTAACCATTGTGCTATACTGTAGAAAAAAATGGTACAGCTGGAGGTTGCAAGAACAGTCAGCCTGAGGGTAGTTACATACTATTTGTCCTTTTAGGTCACACTGGCTATCATGTGAAAATGAAATAGAAGAGACAAGACTGGATGCAGAGAGATCAGTCAGGAGGCCACTGCAGTAACTCAAGTGAGAAATGATGGTTGTCTGATAAAATGACAGTCGTGGAAAGAGAAGAACAAAGGAAAGATCTGAGAAATATTTAAAAGGTAGAACAGACAGTACCTAGTGACTGAAAGGATGTGAGGGGTAAGAAGATGTCAAGGATGACTCCTAGTTTTCTGGATTACTGAAATGTAATTTGGTAATTAGTTTTTTTTCCTACTGATTTAAAATGGTATCTATATTATATGCCAATACTCATATATATTTGAGTTTATATTTTGACTATTCTATTGCTCACTATAACATTTCATTATCCCTCTTATTACTTGCATTTTCTGGAATGTTCTTGGCTAGTCTCTCATGGTTATTCTCCCAGATGAAGTTTAGAAACATTTTGCCAAGTTTCTGTACACTTCCTACCTAACACTAGGACCAAAAAGGAAACCATCCAAAACCAACCCTCCCCCAAAACACAACCAAACAAAACCAAAATCAAGTGCTAAGTTGTTAAGTTCCGATGTAGATTGTACTGAATTCATATGTTAATTTAGTAGGAACTGGACACTTTACAATGCTCACCATTCCTACCTAAGAATAAAGCCTATCTCTATTTCAATCTTCTCTTATCTTCCTCAATTAAAATTTATAGTTTATAGTTTTCTTCATGTAGATTCTTCTAAATGCTTTTTTGTTTTTATATTTTTCTATTTGTGCATAGGTGACACACATTGTTAGTTTCAGGTGTACAACAGTGATTCCATATCTCTATACATTATGCTATGCTCACAAGCATAGCTCCCATCTGTCATCGTACAATGCTATTATGATACCAGTGACTATATGTACCTTATGCTCTACATTTTATTCCCTAGATCTTTAAAATATTAACCTTTATTTTTCATATATCTCAAAAACTAATTATTAAATATTCAGTGTAATTAATATAAGCCTCATCAAAATACATTCTTCATGCTTTTGGTATATAGTATGGTATTTATTTTAAAGAGCAAAATTTTATACTATATTATATATCAGTTTACCTAAAATATTAACTTTTAGAACTTATTAACTATGTTTATTAAAAGCCAATGTAAACCTACTGGCCAATTAAAATATGATAACTGCCTTCTGACTTACCATATGATAGAATGAGATGACAAAAGAGCTTTTCCCCAAAAAGCAAACAGCTGGAGAAAATGGTCAAAATACAACTATTCAGTGCTGTGGAATCTAACCAAAGGCAATCAACAAAATGAGAAGTGTTTTTCAGATTAACTACTCAATTTTGGGCAGCACACAATCTATGGCTTTCTTGCCTTGCCAGCTTTACCCCATGGAATTTTTACCAGAGAGTGTCAAGCTGTCCAAAACCAGTTTCCCTGGTGATCTTGGTGGCTTCCTTAATGGAAACTGCAGGCATCTTTGGAGCAAACAATGGACTGGCAGATGGGCAGGTACTTGAAGGTTTGTTTGAGGAGCTGAGACAACCATAAGGACTTGCTGAGCTCTCCTTGTAGCCCAGGTTGTGCTGCACTTAAAGGAGAGACTGTATCAGCTCCAGCTGCCAACACATCCTCAGCTCAAAGAGCTGACACACGTGTGTGTACTGGCAGGCTTAAAAAGAGCCTAAGTGTAAATATACTCTTACACAGACACATCAGCAGGAAGAGAGGACACACCTTATTAGCTCTGTGTCTTTTAGTACAATCTCTGGCTGGACACTAAAGCTGTGCAGACACGGGAATGACTTCTAGGAAGCTAGGCTAAAAATAAAAATTAAATAGATTTCCTGCGCAATAATTTTTCCCTTGAGGGAAAGAAGTCCATTTATAATAGTAAAAAAGTGGGATCCCTGGGTGGCGCAGCGGTTTGGCGCCTGCCTTTGGCCCAGGGCGCGATCCTGGAGACCCAGGATCGAGTCCCACGTCGGGCTCCCTGTGCATGGAGCCTGCTTCTCCCTCTGCCTGTGTCTCTGCCTCCCTCTCTCATTCTGTGTGACTATCATAAATAAATAAAAATTAAAAAAAAATAATAGTAAAAAAGTAATGCCACTAAGGATGCCCTCAAACAAATTTCAGATGAATGAAAAAATTAAATGTAAAAAACCAAAAGCATAACTAAACCAGAGGATAATCTAGGTTAGTATTTAAAACTGATTTTGATGTGGGGAAGACATTTTAAAAAGTCAAAGTAATTAGATAAATAAAATTCAAAGACAAATAAATATGACCACATAAAGAATAAAAACATCTATAACAAGACATCATAAAAACAAATCTGGTAAATATTTCAATAATTTTGATAGGTTAATATTCTTAAATATAAAATACTCTTAAATCTCACCTTTATTATTCTCTCCTAAATTTACATGTTTAACTATTTAATAGCAAATATTTGGAAGCAATCTTAAAAATCAGTAATATAAATGTCTATTCATATGATTAAATATTTGTTCATTCATTTAAAAATACTTACTGAGCATGTAGAGCATGCTTTGGTGCTTTCCCAGGCTATGTAGATACAACTTATGCAGTAAAGAATTTACTGTACCCAGATAGAGGTCTAGCTTTTGTCCTGGGCTGCTGGGAGGTGATTTCTACAATAAGTGTCTTGTGAACTTGGGGGTTTTGGCTCATACCAGACTAACAGTGAGATTTAAGGTGGTTTGGCTTGTGTCATGGGGTATCAGCATGACTTCCAGAATGGCTAGAGATGGGGGTTAGCAACATGGGCAGCCAACCAAGTTTACATAGCTGGTCCCAGGAAATTTCTGGACATTAGGGCCCTGATTGGCACGACTCTGTGTGTAGTTATACACCTTGCTGGGAGAGTTAATGTTATCCATGACCCCACTGAGGAGAGGACAACTGGAAACTGCTGGTGGAACTTTCTGGACTGCTGCTTCATGTGTCTCTTCCTCTGGCTGATTGTAATCTGCATCTGCTCACTGTAAGAAACTGTACCCATGAACCTAACTACTTTCAGTGAGCTTTGTGAGTTCTTCCAGTGAATTATGGAGGTCTTGAGGGTCCCTTGAATTTGCAGTTGCTATCAAAAGCAGGTGGTCTTGTGGACTGTTCCCTAACTTCAAACAACTGTAAAGAGAGGAACGATGCTTACAGTTCAAAGCAGGACACAATTAAACAATTATACTAATGTGTGACAGATGTTATGATGGCAGACATACAGGGTATGATGGGAACACGTAGGATACATACATCTAATCTAGGAAAAGGGAATACCACTCAAGGACTTGGATGTGGGAAAAAGAAGTTCAGCACAGGATTGCTCAAAATGATGAAATATAAGAGAGAACTGTGATTTTAATAATTCACAAAATTTGAAGCATACATGCTCAAATGAAATGATGGACTGATGTGGAAATTTAAGAAAATCTCATGGAAAGCATGCTGTGGAATTAGAACTGATTGAAAGATTATCAATAGAAAATTTACTGATCTACTTTAGTGGTGGGAATGAAAATCGGTTCACTTTCTATAGGAAATACTTGCTAATACTTGTCAAAATTTATCAACAACCTTAGAAATAGTCTTAACTTTTGACCCAGCAATCAAATTTCTGGGAAGTTATCCCTAAGATATATTCACATATGTATAAAATGACATAATTATAGGATTATTAATTGCAGCATTATTTGCATGATCAAAACACTGGATATACGGTAAATGTCTTTATAGAGGGGAATGGCTACATAAACTAGTACATCCATACAACAAAGCACTATGGAGCTGTTAAAAAGGAGATATTCAGATGTATTGAAGAAAAAATGGAATAGTGTGAAACAATGCACAGTGTGCTACTCCCTGTAGAAAAATGGAGAAAAGAACACATGGATATATTTAGTCACTTCTTTACAGAAACACTTATACAAACATGAGTATCTCTGGGTGAATATACAGGACACTGAAAGCACTCAATACTCAGGGAGAACTGGATGACTGGGAAGAATATGTTGCACTCTCCACATACTCTTGTGAACCTTTTGAAGTCTGGACCACGTGACCATGGGAATATAGCACATCTCTTCAAAATATTTAGAAAAACAAAGGTACTGATAATTTTCCCAACTGTGTGAGAATATTTATTTGACAAACAGAATAGAGAAACTACTATAAATATCAATCTGTCTGGAAATATTTACTTTATTTTCACATACCTGGGACTCTGTTTCATTAACTATTGTTGTCTTCAAGTCATCTTGTTTACTTATGATCTTCTGTAGCTACAAAGATAGCAAACATGAATTCAGATATGTGACTACTAGATTATTCAAAGTAGCCTAAGAAACAGATGTTTTTATTATAAAACCTATACCAGTTGCTATATATTAAATTCTTTCTCTATTATAGCTAATATTGTTACTTATTTTTTCTTGAATCACGTAAGAATCAAAGAGTACTTACATTACTATTATTACAATTTGAATTTTTTCTAAGAAAGCTATTGTACTTAATACACACATATTCCAAAGATATTACCCTATAAAAACTTCATGATTACCCTCATTCTTGAAGAGAATTTTTATCCATAGTTTTTGTATTATTGATAGTTTATGGCCACATTTTCAAGTATATAGCTTTTTTTTTAAGAGAGGGAGAGAAAGGGGGTGCAGAGAATCTTTTTTTTTTTTTTGAGGTTGGGGGGACATGGAGAGCCTGTGCATGAGTGAAGGGGGAGACAGAAAGGAGAGAGAGAAAATCTTTAAGCAGGCTCTACCCAGAGCAGACTTGGGGCTGGATCTCACAATCCTGAGATCATGTGAGATCATGACCTGAGCAGATATCAAGAGTCAGACCTTTAACTGACTGAGCCATCCAGGTGACCCTCAAGTATGTAGCTCTTAAAAAGCTACTTACATCATATAAAAGTGATCTTCTTCTCCTTATGCATTTATAAAACATCAAAATAATTTTTAAAAAAGATTTTGAGAGAGAGAGAGAGAGAGAGAGAGAGAGAGAGAGAATGGGGGAGGGGCAAAGGGAGAGGCAGAGAATCCCAAGTGGAGCTTGATGGCACAACTCTGAATTCCTGACCTGAGTTGAAATCAAGAGTTGGATGCTTAACTGACTGAACCATCCAGGTGCCCTAATCATCAAAATAATTTAAAAACATACATTTCTGCCAATTATAAAATTATCAATAGTACCTTAAGACCAAGTACATTTAAAAGCCTACCTTTCAGAGTCATTTGTACCAATCCTCATATGGAAAGCAAATTAAAAAAAAAGTTTTTAAAAAATTAAATGCAGACAGAAATCTGAAACTATGGATGCAAATGAATTAGGAGACAAACCTTCACTCATTTTTTTTCTAGGCTACTTTTTGTTAATAGTTTGAAAACTGCTTCAACTAAATTCCAAGTTAATTATCTCAAGTTTGGCTGCCTTTATTACGTTTGTTTTTAGGCAGTTTATCTCTAATTCCCTAAGTCCCTCAAACTTTTCCACATCTCCTCCCTCATAACATTTTAGGGAAAAAGTGTTGAAAGGTTTTACATTTGTTTTATTCTTACTTTTTAGATTGACAAATATATAATGCCAAGTTCAATATCATTCTCCTTTTGCTTACCATGCCTCCATTAAAATTTTTTATGATGGAAAATTTGAAACACAGCAAAGAAGAGAGAAATCTGTAATAAACCACACATTCTTCAGCTTCAATTTATCAGTATTCTGTTTTTCTTGGTTTCTTTATACCTCTACCCATTCCCAGTTCCTTCTCAATTATTATTTATAGCTCTTGAGGGAAAATTTATATACACTGAATGTATAAATCATAGCCATACAATTTTGACAAATGGGCGTTGGTGGTATAGTGGTGAGCATAGCTGCCTTCCAATTTTGACAAATGGATATACCTGTGTAACCCGTCCTCCTAACCTGGAATATAATAATATTTCTATTTTCTCAGAAAATTCATTGTGTCTCTTCCCAGTCAATCCTTTCTCTCTGCATCCCCACAGAAAGAATATCAGAGTTCTAGTTTTTTCCCCCATCTAAACGAGTTTCACTTAGTTTAGAAATTCAAATAAATTATACCAACTGGTATATATTCTTTTGTGTTACTACCATCTTTCACTCTGCATAATGGTTTTGAGATTTATTCATTTTGCATATAAGTAGTGTTATTTTTTTAATAATAAATTTATTTTTTATTGGTGTTCAATTTGCCAACATACAGAATAACACCCAGTGCTCATCCCGTCAAGTGCCCCCCTCAGTGCCTGTCACCCAGTCACCCCACACCCCACCCTCCTCCCCTTCCACCACCCCTAGTTCGTTTCCCAGAGTTAGGAGTCTTTATGTTCTGTCTCCCTTTCTGATATTTCCTACCCATTTCTTCTCCCTTCCCTTCTACTCCCTTTCACTATTATTTATATTCCCCAAATGATGAGAACATATAATGTTTGTCCTTCTCCGATTGACTCATTTCACTCACAATAATACCCTCCAGTTCCATCCACGTTGAAGCAAATGGTGGGTATTTGTCATTTCTAATAGCTGAGTAATATTCCATTGTATACATAAACCACATCTTCTTTATCCATTCATCTTTCGATGGACACCGAGGCTCCTTCCACAGTTTGGCTATTGTGGACACTGCTGCTATAAACATCGGGGTGCAGGTGTCCCGGCGTTTCATTGCATCTGTATCTTTGGGGTAAATCCTCAACAGTGCAATTGCTGGGTCGTAGGGCAGGCTTTGTTGTTGAGCTGTATCCCATTGTATGAATATATCACTATTTATCCATTCACTTATTGACAGGTGTTTGCACTGTCTCTAGTTTTTGACATTGTGAATCAAGCTACCATAATTTTTTTTCCAGCTTTACTGAAGTATACTTAATATGCTAAAATTGCACCATTAATGTATACATTTTGGTGAGTTTGGACACATGCATACATCTGAGATACATCAAGGTAATAAACATTTCCATTACGTCCAAAAGATTTGTGTAACTGTTTTTTCCTTTGGTAATAAGAACACTTAGCATGTGATGTACTTTCCTAAGTTTTTAAGTGCACAACACTGTATTCTTAGCTATATGTTACTATGTTGTATTGCACATCTCTGCCATAAGCTTTCTTGTATAATTCTTTTGTTTTTTGTGGACCTATGTTTCAATATTTCTCTTGGATGAATTCCTAGGAAGGGAACAATTAAATCCTTCTTTATTAAGTTGTTGAGTTCTTTATTCTGGGTACAAGTCTTTTGTTAGATATCTGTTTGGGAAACATTTTCTCCCATCCTATAGTCTGCCTATTCATTTTCTTATTGGGACTCTGAATGAATAAAAGTTTTTAATTTGGATCAAGACTAACTTACTTTTCCTTTTGTGGTTATTGCTTAGTGCCATAAGAAACTCTGAACATCCTAGATTCTGATTATTTTCTTATGTTTCGTCTCAGAAGCTTAATGGTTATAGTTTTTATGTTTAATCTATACATCTCAAATACATTTTTGTATAGACACACTTTGTTTTATCACACTTTGTAGATACTGCAGTTTTTAGAAACTGAAGATTTGTGTCAACCCTGTATTGAGCAAGTCTTGGTGCTATTTTCCCAACAGCATTTGTTCAGTTTGTGTCTCTGTGTCACGTTTTGGTAATTCTCACAATATTTCAAGCTTTTTCATTATTTTTATATTTGAACTACTGTAATGTCATGATAAAACTTTAATGGATTAAGAACTGCTTCTTATGAATGAGCACAGAAAATGGTTTCTCGAGATGGAATCCACCCCTGGAGAAGACTGTGGAAATGACAACAAAGGATTTAGAATATTACACAAACTTAGCTGATAAAGTAGTCAGCAGGGTTTGAGAGCACTGACTCCCACTTTGAAAGAAGTTCTACTGTGGGTAAAATGTTATCAAACAGCTACGGAGAAATAAATCATCAAACTCCACTGTCTTAGGAAATTGCCACAATCACCCCAACCTCCAGCAACTACCACTCTGATCAATCAGCAGTCATAAACATCGATACAAGGTTCTTCAGTAGCAAAAGAGATGACAACTCACTGAAAGCTCAGATAGCTAGCATTTTTTAGCAACAAAGTATTTTTTAATTAAAGTATGTGCACTGGTTTTTCAGACATAATGATACTGCACACTTAACAGACTATGGTATAGTGCAAACATAACTTTTATATGCACTAGGAAACCAAAAAATTCATTTGACTTGCTTTATTGTGGTGGTCTGGAACTAAACCTGTGGTATCTCCAAAGTATGCCTATATATGATGTGAGGCAGGGGTTATAACTATTTTTTTTTCATATAAATATCCTCTTGTTCTAGTGTCATTTATTGAAAAGATTTTTCTTTTCCTGTGAACTAAATTGGTGACTTTATTGAGAATTAAATGACCACATGTAGATTCTTTATTATCTTCTACTGATTTACTTGCCCATTCTTAGATCAATATCACAATGTTACCATTCCTGTGGCTTTGCAGTTAAGTCTTAAAGTCAGGTAGTGTGAGTTATCCAGAGTTGCTCTTGTTTCTAAAGACTGACTTGAGTGTTCTAGGTACTTTACTTTTACGTGTATACTTAAAATCAGCTTGTTAATTTCTACAAAAAAAGCCTGCTAGGATTTTGCTTGGTAAATTAAATCTTAGACCAAATTGGGAAGAACTGACATCTTAACGCAACTGAATCTTCTAACCCATTAACATGCTATGTTCCTCTATTTAAGTTTCCTTGAGTTTCTATTGGTCATATCTGAAGTTTTTGGTGAATGTTTTTTTGTTAAAAATCTACTTACTTTACGTTGATATCATCCAAAGGAGAACTGATTTTAATTTCATTTTCCAACAATTTGCTACTAGTATGTGGAAATACAACTGATTTCTCCATATTGACATTCTATATTGAGACCTTCCTAAATTTGCTTTTGGTTCTAGCAGCTTTCCTTTTCTTGTTGATACCTGTGAATGAAGTCAGATTTTTTTCTTCCTTTCCAATCTTTTTATTGCTTCCCCCCGACTTGTATTGCTATTATTAGAATCTTCAGTAAAATGTTCAAAAGAAGAGATAATATATCCTTTGCCTCGTTTCTGATCATAAAGGGACAGCATTCCATCTGTAGCTTGATGCCATTTTTAAATTTTTTATAAATGCTCTTATCAGATTGAAAAAGTTCTTTTCACTTTCTACTTCGCTCAGTTTTATTATGAAAGTATTTATTTTATTAAATGCTTTATATGCATGTAGTG